CACTGCCCCCTTACCTGCACTGCACCTCACAGCTGATATTTGGCTGGCTTGAGGCCTCCCAAAAGCTTGAGGAAGGCTTCTGCAGGCTTCAGCAAGCTTTGTAGGCTGAAAACCAGCCAAATATCAGCTGTGAGGTGCAGTGCAGGTAAGGGGGCAGTGGGGGGGGGGGGAGGGCGCCGGGGGGGGGGGGGGGTGGGGGGGGGCACACATTGCCTTCTGGGTGCTGGCACACGAGTGCGAGCGTGCAAGCGTGCACACAATTTTTGGCACAGGAGCCCAAAAAGTTAGCCACCACTGCCCTATACCATTTCAGACAAGTACTTATCCAATCTCTTCTTAAAAACTTCCATTGTTGGACTATTTACAACTTCGGGAGGCAATTTCTTCCACTGATTAGTTGTTCTAATTGTCGGGAAATTTCTCCTTAGTTCTAGATTGCTTCTCTTCTAGTTTCCATCCATTGCTTCTTGTCCTCAGGTCCTACCGTCAAGTGCTTTGGAGAATAGCTTGACTCTCCCTTTTCTTTGTGGCAGCCCCTCAGATATTGGAAGACTGCTATCCTGTCACCCATAGTCCTTCTTTTCATTACACTAGATCTAAAATAGATACTTACAACATATATTGTCTGATTCTGTAGCTCAGGTGTCAAAGGTGCCTTTTTAAAGAAACGTACGAAATCGTTGAATGTGTCGCAGGATAAAAATGAATGATCTTCTTTGATGAAGAGACATTGCAACTGTCTCAACATTTCTTCCAGAAGTAATTTTGAAGTAAAACATTCAGCACAATTCACGAATACATGAGGAAGCTGGAAAAATAAGAGAACAAATATAGGTTTCCTTCTGTTTACTTTATTACAAGGCTCTCCACAGCAAACCTAACTTGGACTGTTTACAAAGTAACAAAACGATAACATTATTTACAAAGAAATGTCTAAGAGTTAAAGATACGTTAACTCACTAATTACAGCTGATTTGCAAAAATCACTAAATAATTAGGATCACAAGTGAAGGCTGCATAATAATGCCATCCTGAGAGCCCTATATGTAATCATGAATACGTCCATTGGTGTATAAGCCAACTCTAGAAATTTCAACCGAAATACCATGAAAAATGTGTCATCTATAATTAAGCTGGTATCTGAATTTTAAATCACAGTGACAGGTGGGAAACTGCAAATTGTTACCTCATCATTTATAAGCCCATGCAATTTTAAGGCTGTGACAGGCTTTTTTAAAAAAAAAGGAAAATCTAAGCTCTGGTCTGCAATTTTTTGGAGTGATTTTGGAACTTAAAATTCTCAGCTCATCTGCAAATATATATAATAAGTTCCATTCAAATTAACAAGTTTTACTTTTGAGCACAGTTTGCTCCCCTGCTTTTAAATGTATTTATTTCATTGCTAAGTACTTACCGATTGGGATCGATATATATCGATCAATATATAGTAAAACATATTTTACTTTATAGAAAGTGAAAAAAAATTAAATGAGTCCCTGCAGGTTTCACTTTGCTAGTGGTTGCTGACTCTAGGGGGCGGTGCTCATCTGTTTTAAGGTCATTGAGACAGCGCCAGCTGAAGACATTTCTGTGGTCATGTGACCAGCATGACGTCATGGAGCACTGTTCCCTTCCCACTGAAGTGATGCCTATTTATCTACTCGCATTTGCCTGCTTTCGAACTGCTAGTTGGCAGGAGCTGGGGTGAGAATGGGAGCTCACCCTATTGCATGGGGCCTGGGCCTCAAACCTCAGGACCTTAACTGCTGAGCCACCATGGCACCCTATATGCATATGTGTCTGTGTATTAAAAACCAGCCATCAATATAATGATATATAAATTGATTGCAATATGCAATGCATGCAGTTATGTTCAAAAAGACAAGGTAAAAACATTGATGGCAAATATATAACAAGTTAATCACATTCAACCACCATTACAAATATGATCTGGGGAAAATATAGCATAGCATCAATGCATACGAGAAGACCCAAGATGGGGACTCAGACTAAGACATGACAAAAATCAGAAACTTGACGAGTTTACTGGTTAAAAAGCAAGTAATAAACACTACTTATTTGGCTTACCCTTGTTCTAAATACAACCCTTGCAATTTCTTTATAATGCCAAGGAAGCATATATTTTGAGCATAGATGGATCATAATTCACAATTACTAACACTAGGCTAAAAGCAGCAGCAGAAAATTGTTAATTTGCTGCCTGTTTGCCCTATTCACCTAACCCAAATAAAAATAAATAGAATTTTGATTTTCTGGATTGTTTTATGCATTGGCCACGTCCTGCCAAAGTGTTTCTGGACAATCGCTCTGAACAGTTCACTCATAATGAATGTTAAAGTGTTTCTCTATATTAAATGTGAACACCCTGCTTAAAGGAAGCACCAAAAAAATTTAAAAAAAGATTTAAAAAAAACAATGTTAAGAAAAAAAACTTGTAGATCATTCTTACCTCCAAGGTTTTTAGAAGGATCTGCACCACATAAGTCTTTCCACTGGATGTGTGTCCATATATGAAAAGGGCTGGAAAGCTAAAGTGTTGACGCTAGGAAATAATATATACATACATATTTAGGAGGGTTTTTTATTTTAAGCATACCCTGTCCTTTGTTTAAATGATTTTTAGGATTTTGGATCACTTTTTTTTACTACGTTAGCTGAACAATGATTGATGAGAGAAAGAGAGAGACAGAGAGGGATGGACAGAGACAGACCAGCAGAGAAACAGAGAGAAAAACAGAGACAGAGAAAGAATGAGAATAAGTGAAAACAAAACTGAATGAGGCAAAAAAGGACCTTGAGAAATAAGGAAAAGAGAAATCCCAAAAGTTAACATCACAAATAGTTAAAGTTTGGCAGGCAAATGGATCTTCCCAAGCCTCATTTTTAAGGTGCCATTTTCAAATGCACCTTTTGAACAGCACTGTCTCTGCCTATGAAGATTCTCAACCACCCAGGTCATAATTGTCTCAAAGGTGCTTTTCAAAAGAAAACTGGACTACCTTGGGTTTTTTCCCCTAACATTTCCCTTCTCATCCAAGAAGCTTCTTGAATGAGAAGTGAAACGTTAGGAGGGGGGGAAAAAACTAAGAAAGTCCAGTTGCCTTTTGAAAAGCACCTTTGAGACAGCACTGTGTCTGCTTATTCTCACCTCCGGCCCACTGTTGTGAGAAAGCAGAATGAGACCTCACCTTGCACCTCACTCCTATGTAATTGTTTTAAATAATAAATCTTCAATTTCAATTCCAGTAACGTCTATTTTTTGTTCATTCTTTTGATAGGAGCAGAAAAATGAAATCTTGTGTAAAGATACGACAAGAGCAGTTCCTGTGAAGAGCTAAACAAGAGGTGCATGGCAGCAACCTACCAAATACTCATAACAATCTTTAAAAAATCATAATAATCACTCTAATTTTGCAACAGCTTCCTGGAAAATGAAGGTTTAAATGGATGTTTTAAGTTCCAATACATATACCACTGCCAGATGTGAGGAGCTGAAAGCACCTTAAAAATTACCCTTCCTTTATAATACAAAACATGATGCCTCAAAGTAAGCTTCAGTCAAAAAAAAAAACTTAGCAGCATCTTATCAGATATATATATATATATATATATATATATATATATATATATATAAGGGGTACCTCTCCAAATATTGACAATAAGGTAGAAGCTTGAGCTTCTCGGCACGGTATCATGCTTTCCAGCTGAAGCAATTTTGCTTCAGGATACTCTGGGTGTTTCAAAGCTGACATTTTAACTTCTGTTTCAGTGGCTCCGTCTCACAGGCAGCTTCAAGGATGAAGGAAGACCTGAAAAATGAAACGGTAGTTAAGATTTCCCATGAGAACATATTGGCTATGTATCGAGTGACATGCTTTCAATCATGTTACAACCTGTTTTATTAAAAATAACAAAGCATTACAGCAAGAGTGTCAAACATATCCAGCCCATGGGGTGCTTCAATCTGGCCCATGGGACCGCCCTGGAAACAACGAAGGACTGACCCACGGTGCCTCTGCCAGTGAAAATGGAGCTCAGGAGGGCCATGCGCAATGGCCCTTTCCCCGGCAGAGGGTTGCACAGCCAAAAATGGAGCCCGGGGGGCACACACATACCCCAAGCTCTGTTTTTGCTGGCAGAGTGCAAGCAAAACAAACTGCTAGCAAAAGTCAATCCTGCTCAGCCCTGCCCGGGCCACCGTAGGTGCCCGCAATATGAGTGACATTGAGCTGGCCACATCCACCTGGCCATACCCACCTGAGGTCAAACACAATCCTGATGAGGCCCTCAATGAAATCAAGTTTGACACCCCTGCATTACAGAAATATTAAGTGTTCACTTGTAGCTCAATATTTGAGGGGGAGGGGCAAGATACTCTATAAATACAGGCAGTCCTCAACTTACCACAACTGAACCCATGTAGGATAAATTCAGCAATTTAGTACTTCCTCTATGCTGTTTAATACTGATATTAGCATTATTATATTATTTGCCTGTCCTGTATAAATTGAGGATTCTACTCTTCTCTGCCATATGTCTAGGTTAATACATATTCAATTGCTTGCACTACACATAAAATACTTCCCTTCAACTTTTCTGGTAGGGATATAGATTATGAGAACAAAGATAAAAAAAACATCTGATGTGTATCAAACGTAAGATTACATTAATTTTCTTAACTCTTAAATTATATGAGATGTTACAAGTAGGACAACCATCTCGATATTTTATTAAAAATAAAAGTGATCACTTCAATGATTGCTCATTGTAAATTCTGAAATGAAGAAAACTATCACTGTCTTTAAGGCAATCATTAAGTCTTGTTTTAGATTGATGTGTTGTGCAAACTTATAATCTAAAGCTGGTTTATACTTCAGTGCACTGCACAAATTTAAAAGCTAAGTTAACCATGGCTAAAACTTCTACAGGAATAGTGGCAGAGGAATTAACACAATAGATTAGTTAAGACTTAAGCTCATTTTTTCCCAATGAAAATTAAGTTCAGCTAACTGAGGATGGACCACAACTGAGCCCAAAATTTCTGTTGCTAAAAGTGAGACATTTGTTAAGTGAGTGTTGTCCCATTTTACGACTTTTGTTAAGTGAATCACTACTTAAATTAGTAACATAGTTGTTAAATGAATCTGGTTTTCCCCATGGACTTTGCTTGTCAGAAAGTCACAAAAGGGAATCACATGACCCCAGGGCATTGAACCCGTCATAAATGTGAACCAGTTGTCAAGCATCCAAATGTAAATTAATGTGACCGTGGGCATGCTGCAATGGTCGTAAGTGTAAAAAATGGTCATGCCATCTTTTTCAGTGCCATTGTAGCTTTGAACGATTGTAAATCAAGGGCCACCTGTATTTTCTATTAATCCCATTGGGAAATACAGAGAATAAAGTCTCTACGATTTGGATCCTCAAATTCATTGGGATTTAACGCAAGCAAAAGTTATAATAAAGGGAAGAGGGAATTTTGATTTGGAACATGCTTTTTTGCTTTAGGGGCAGAGGACCGATATTAAAATAGCCATGCTGATCATAGAAATGATAATAGAGGCAGTCCTCGACTTACGATCGCAATTGAGCCCAAAATTTCTGTTGCTAAGTGAGACATTTGTTAAGTGAGCCCCATTTGACAACCTTTCTTGCCACATTTGTTAAATTAATCACCACAGTTGCTAAATTAGCAACACTGTTGTTAAATGAATCTGGCTTCCCCACTGACTCTGCTTATCAGAAGGTCCCAAAAGGGGATCACATGACCCCGAGACACTACAACAGTCATAACTATGAGTAAGTTGTCAACCATCTGAATTTTGATCACGTGACTGTGGGTTGCTACGATGGTCGTAAGTGTGAAAACAAGTTGCTTTCTTCAAGTGCTGTTGTATCTTTGAACGGTCACTAAATGAACTGTTGTAAGCCGAGGATTACCTGTAACCGAAACAGATTTAGAAACCCTCCAGACTGGAGAAGCTAAAACCTACCCCAGACCTTTCTTTTGAACTTCTTCTAAATTTCAACAGGACAGACAGACTTCAGAGAGTAATTAGGACTACAGAAAAAACAATTACTGCCAACCTGCCTTCCACGAAGGACCTATATATTGCATGAGTCAAAAAGAGAGCTGTGAAAGTATCTACAGACCCCTCACATCCTGGACAAACTGTTTCAACTCCTTCCCTCAAAACGACGCTATAGAGCACTGTACACCAGAACAACTAGACACAAGGACAGTTTTTCCCCGAACGCCATCACTCTGCTAAACAAATAATTCCCTCCACACTGTCCAACTATTTACAAAGTCTACGCTACTATTACTATTAATCTTCTCATCACTCCTTATCACCCATCCCTTCCCACTTGTGACTGTATGACTGTAACCTTGTCACTTGTATCCTAACGATTTATATTGACTGTTTCCTAGTATGATTTGATTGCTTATTGTACCCTATGACTATTATTAAGTGTTGTGCCTGATGATTCTCGACTCTTGACAAATAAATCTTTCCTTTTATGTACACTGAGAGCATTTGCACCAAGACAAATTCCTTGTGTGTCCAATCACACTTGGCCAATAAAAGAATTCCCTTCCCTTCTTATTCTGCTTGACTCTACTCTGCATCTGTCAGGGCAGTCCTCGACCTATGACTTCAATTGAGCCCAAAATTTTACGTTGCTAAGTGAGACATTATAAAGTGAGTTTTGCCCCCATTTTACGACCTTCCTTGCTACATTTGTTAAACGAATCACCGCCATGGTTAAACGAGCAACACTTTTGTTCAACGAATCTGGCTTCCCCATGGATTTTTGCTGGTCAGGAAGGATGCAAAAGGGGACCCCGTGACACACTGCGACCGTCATAAATGTGAATATGTAAATGTCGTGACCATGGGGATGATGTTGCGACGGTTATAAGCGTGGAAAATGCTCACCAGTCAACCTTTTTTCAGTGCCCTCTTTGAACGGTCACTAAATGAACTGTTGTAAGTCAAGGACAACCTGTAATCCCAACAGATCTAGAGACCCCCAGACTGCAGAAGCTAATAGCAGCCTCCAGCCCGAAGATCTTTCTAGAAAAGGTCGAGGGGGGGGGGTTGGGGGGCCCCCAAAAGCGTATACCCCCCCCCCCCACCCCCCCCCCCGAAATTTGGAGGATGGAGGCAGAGGTAGCAAAAACAGTAGCAACTTTTAAGATTTGTGGACTTCAACTCCCAGAATCCCTCAGCCAGCCCTGCCGAGCCATTGGGGCTCAAGGAATTCTGGGAGTTGACGTTCACAGATGGTCGAAGTTGCCATAGTTTCCTCCCATCCGCTGCTTAGGAGACGGCGACGGCCACCTGGGGGAGCCAAGCTGGTGTCGCAAAGTGAGGCAACGCGACTCGAAAGACCCTGCCGGGATCCCAGAGGCTGAATTCGCCCCTTTAGCCCGACGCCTCAGAAAGGAGAACGCCAACGTACCACCGCCGCCACTACAATCGCCGCCGCCGCCGAAAAAAGGGCGGGAAAAGGCGAGAGGGCGTAACGGAAACGCCAAAGCGCGAGAGCTACGTCATAAAGGGGCTTGATTGAACCGCTCCACCGTCACTCAGGCAGATTTCCCAATAGGGGTGCACGTTAATCTCAGTGGGGGTGGGTGGGAGGACGGATAGGGTATAAAAGCCCTCCGTCGGCGCATTCCCTTGTTATAACTGGTTTTCTTGTTGGTTGTGTTGTTTTGTATTGAAGAGAGGTGGTGCTTATTCTCTCGAAGGGATAGCACCTGTTCATTTTATAATATTTTTATATATTTTCATTTTGTTTTATATTGGGGAGAGGACAGTTGTGACAATAATTGAGTACTGTATTTGCAGCGCCTGGAATAAAAGCAAACGGGTGAAAAAATTCCACATTTGTCACCCCACAAATGTGAATTTGTTCTGATAACGCACAGAGCTTTAGAGGAAAAAAGATACTGAGCTAACGTCTCGTCTCCATAAGAATATTACCAAAAAAAATTTGAGGGTTGTGAATAAAAAAAATGCAGAAATCATCTTACTCGGAACAGTAAAATTGGACAAAATAATTTCTGTATTATGAAAGCAATGCAAGATATAGAGAGGATTTTTCATGCAGGCACGCACACATTTTTTGTGCATCAACAAAATCGTGGATCAATTCATGTCCTGAAAACAAGCATGTAAGGCAGAACGCAACCACATATTAATTGCTGATGTACAGGATGTATTGATCTCAAGAGAGCAGTGATATCCATAGATACTCCCAATGAGACCTTTAGGGTAGATCCCATTATTATCAAAATAAAGCTTTTTAATTTCAATATTTCCTTTTGCAAAGGTGAAGTAGGGGGTAACCCATTGAGAGTAACCCTTGGACTTAAATTCTCTGCTCCACAATATAATATATAGAAGTAACACTTTATGGCTACAGTAGGAAGATTGAACCTCAGTGCAATATTTTAACAAAACTACCATTACTGGATAGACATGCTCTGTATCTCCGTAGCAACCAGGAAAGCTGCAAAGAAAGAAAACCGTAATAGTTACTTTTGTACAATCTGCTGACTTGAACTAGTGTGTCATTTTGAAAAGTTTTATTCCGTTCTTACATGAAAGTAGAATATTGCCAAGAATTCTAAGGGAGTTCTCAACAAAGATGTGAAGTCTGAATTTATTTTTATTCTATTTTGCCAGTCTCTCAAAATATTCCATGGCATAATTTCCCATTTCTTCCATTTCAAAATTTGATTGATGGTGTGTTTTCCTCATGCAATGTTTTTTTTTCCTGACACAGATTAAAATTACTGCATAAAGACAAAGCCATTGGTTTGAGGGTTTTCTCAGGCATTGCATTTTGAAAAATGTCCAGCTGTACAAAGAGTAACATTCAAATAAAATTAGAAATCTTTAACAGATGCCCTTTTAATAATATTTTAATCTGTGTGGTTTAAATGTTTTAATATTTTAATGTTTTGTTTTATAACCTGTAAGCCTCCAAGAGTCACCTTGTAGGGAAGATGGGCGCCATAAAATGTAATAAACATAATAAATATCAAGATGTATCTTCTTTCTAACTCCTGTGTTCCTTCATAAAGGAGAAAATTCAGAATAGAAAAAAAGAGAATTTAGAGTCAATAAATCATGTTTATTTAAATACAGCGAAATGAAATCACAAAACAGCTTATCAATTAAAACAAGACAACATTAATTAAAATAAAATGAGGAAATCTATAAACTGTACAAGACAATCGGAATGAAAGAGAAATGCCTTTCTATTTTCATTTGCAATTTCTAGAGAATCGACACTGGGTGTATATTCAGGTAATTTAAGACCCAAATGGTTTTAAGGAGTCTCATTTTAAATGACAGATGGATTCATTCAAATGTGGAAGTATTTCCAACTACATGACTTCTGTCCTTTTACAATCCCAGTTTTGGCTGCTAGATCAACAGAGTTCTTGTTGGTTTAGCAGATATTAACATTGATATATTTCATAGGGCAGTGACATATGCCATGTTCCATTATTCCCGTGCTTTATAATTCCTCAGTCACAATTGGTACTAACTGGAGGACGCAGTCCCATATTCTATAAATATCCCGATCGCACAGAAACCAAACAAATTGGAAGAAGGGATTTAATACCTTGTTGTATCTCTGATGTTGAGGTCTTTCTTTTTCATAGATGCAAGAATAGCACCTGCAATCGATTGTTTAAATAGGAGGTGAAATGGTTGCTAAGTCTGTGAGAGAAAAAGATACTGCAAAGATCATGAGTTGCTACCATCCTATGGAGATAAAGTTTTTTTTTACAGTATCCTGTCTGTGGTCCTTTTACTCCCCACTCCCCCACAAGGCAGACAGGATGTTTAAATACCCTGAGCTTTCTTTCTTCATGGTTGGAACCCTTCCCTTAAAACGGGTAAGTTAAGCTCTATGATATTAATTAGTTGACCAGAACACTCCAGCCCTGCCTCTGCTGGCTGAAACTGACTGGATCTTAATCAGTTTTACACTAAAAGGTATTTGTTTTCAGGCACAGCCAAATTTGGCAGTAAATACATTGGTTCATAAAATCAATTTGTTTTTATTACTGTTGTATTTGCAAATGATTGCTAAATGAGGGGCAGGTAGTCCTTGACTTATGACCTCACTTGAGCACAACATTTCTGTTAAGTGAGACAATTGTTAAGTGAATTTTATGACCTTGCCACAGTTGTTAAGTGAATTGCTGCAGTTGTTAAGTTAGTAGAATCTGACTTCCCCTTTTGCTTGTCAAACGGTCATAAAAGATGATCACCTGGCCCCAGGACTCTGCAACCGGTCATAAACATGAGTCAGTTGCCAAGCATTCAAATTTTGATCGTGTGACCAGTCATAAGTTACTTTTTCAGTGCCGTTGTAACTTCGGTCAGTAAATGAACTGTTGTAAGTCAAGGACTACCTGCAGTTGCTAAATGAGGAGTAGCTATGTACCCAGAACAGACCGCAGAGGCCTTTAGATAGTGCTATTAACTCCTCCAAACAGCTACCCCATTAATGCTGCTGCCATCTTAATAATATCCCCCATTGACAAACTTCACCACTGCTGCTTCCCAGTTGCTATTGACTTTCTCTGTCAAGTTTGTCATCAGAAGATATTGAATTTCTGCCGAATGTATCAGGGTGAATAGCAAGGCAGAAAAGAACCATACAGTACATCATCAAGTCTTGAGGAATTAGAACTTAGAATCACAGGGCTGGAAGCAGAGGTGGTCTTCAGCCGGTTCTCTGTAAATTTTGAGTAGTTCGGAGAACCGGCAAATCCCACCTCTGACTGGCCCCGCCCCCATCAATTCTCTGCCTCCCGAGTCCCAGCTGATAGGCTGGGTCTTCTTTGGTTAGCCTGCACAGGAGAATGGAGCTGGAAAGCAGGTTAGTGGGATGGGGAGGGAAGGGAAGGGAAGGGGGATTTTGCAGTAACCTTCCCCCAAGAGTGCGGGTTTTATAGTATCCTTCCTCTGTCACACCCACCAAGGAACTCGCAGTGGGCTGGACTTAGTTCTCTTGTGGGTACGAAGGGGCTTATGACTCATGACATGCTTTGTTGGTATTTAACACCAGGCAATTTGTCAATAATGTATGAAGGTATTTCAAATGAACATTGGAAATGTAAATGTAAAGAAGGGGCCTTTTATCATTTATGGTGGACATGTGATACAGCAAAGAAATATTGGAGTAGGATTCAATTTCTAATACAGACAATTCTTAAAGTGGATATAAAGATAAAAGGACAAACTTTTCTTTTGGAAAAAGAATTTTTTGAAACTTTGATATTATCTATGTTGATGGTAGCAAAACTACTTTATGCCCCAAAATGGAAGGACGCTTCAATTCCCACAATGGATGAATGGCTATAAAATGGAATTAGCAGAGAAGGCCAAATCGACTGCTTTGACGAAAGAAAAAGACATAAAATACTTTTAGTTTCTACCGCTTCTGGACTTTGTGCTTGAGGTGGGGGAAAAAATGAAACTTGGATGTTGGGTTTTACTGATTTGATAGATTTGTTGTTATAGAAACGGCTAGTTTATATGTAAAAGTAAAAAAAAAAAAGTGGTTTGATGTTACTATCTTATTTTAGTGCACCAAGGGAGTTGGAAGTCAACACCTTTTCCTCCCCAATTTTTCCTCCTCCTTTTCTATACTTCTCCGTTCCCCTTTCCCTCCCTTATTTTTCCCACTATTTACTTTTGTATTTGTGTATTTTATATCATAAACTAATAAAAACTGAAAAGTCAATGACCAATTAAATGTTTGACCCCTCCCTCGGACTCAGCCTGGTCATCTCCTACACTTCTCCCCATTACTTCTTCTCCCCTTTGGATCTTTGGAGAACAAGTCAACTCCTTCTTCTCTGTGACAGTCCCTTAAGTACTAGAAGACAGTTACCATGTCCTCCCTAATGCTTCTCTTCTTTAGACTAGCTATATCTACCATGTATCCCCGAAAATAAGACCCTGTCTTATATTTTTTTGCCATCAAAAAAAGGTACTAGGTCTTATTTTCAGGGAAATGTCATCCACTGACTAACCCCACTTGTGCGCATCACCCTGGGCCTCCTTTTCGCTGTCAGAGGCCTTCAGGAACGTCTTCTTCTGCAGCCGGCAAGGCTTTCCTGAAGGCCTCTACAGCTGATAATGCAGCCCTGGATCGATCCTGAGCTTCATTATCAGCTACAGAGGCCTTCAGGAAAGCCTTGCCAGCCTGGCCAGCTGCAGAAGAAATGGGCCGGCAAGGCAGGTGTTGGGGTGTGCGATGCCTGACAACTGTCCAAAGGTAAGTAGTAGGGCAGCTCCACCCACCCCCATCGTCATCCTAGCTTAATTTTTATCCAGGCACTCTGGAGTGGGCGGGATCTTCATTAGGGCTTATTTTGGGGGTAGGGCTTATATTGGGTGCACATGTAAAAATCAAGCTAGGGCTTACTTTCAGGGTAAGTCGTATTTTCATGGAAACAGGGTAGC